GTTCCTTGAGACGAGGAATTGTCAAGTCTTGAGACCGTCATAATCCTTGACAATTCCAACTGATAATGCTCATTGGGCTTTAGGCAATCCCCCCTTTGGGATCACCTCTTGAGGGTTAAGCTTTGACAACTTCACAGTGCTTGAACCCACAACATCTGCTTTTCTTTTCTCCTTGAAACCTTTTAGAGCACCACCACCAACTTCAACTAGATTTAAATGAGGGCTTTGCAGCAGAGGCTTCTCCTTTCTGATGTACTTTGACGGCCTCTTCCTACTTTTAGCTTTGGGCTTGGTCAGAACATTTCCAGAAGATCCTGCTGCAAAGGAGCAAAGACCAGAAACCGTCGAAATGTTCTGATAAGGTTGAGACAGAGCCAAGAAGCTACCTGAACCCCCGACTGAGCAGGAGGAATCTTCATCCATGAGCCACAAACGATCTGCACCACTTTTAATAGAAGCCTCAACTAGAGAATGGCTAATTGGAGCTTCCCTGGGAAGAGAAACAGGCGAAGAAGCCTTCTCGAAGTTGTAGACCACTCCTTTCTCTTTAGATAAATCATCATGAAAGACAGGTAAAGGCTCAAGCCTTAGAACAGATTTTGAAGAAAACAGATCCTTTTCCACTTCTCCAACAGAGATCTTAACTTTATCAATTCTTAACAATCTCTCCTCATCACTGGAAACCCGTAAATACTGTCGCATTCCTTCCAACACCTCAGCAGCTATTCTTGGTCTACCAGTAGATGGATCAATACCCACTTGATCTTCCTTCAAAACACCAAAAAGAGGGGTTGTTTCCTGCAGGACTGGTGGAGGCTTGGGTCTGGTAATCGGAACACCAGCTCTTCTAGCATCTACAACCTCTAATCTTTTTTTAATTAGCAAAGGACAGAAATCTTTCTCATGAGTCATCCTCTGACATTCGTAACAACGTTTCTGAACCCTTTCATATTCATAATGAATCGTGGCTGTTCCACCACCATTAGGAAGATTAACAAGCTTTGATCTTCTAAGCGGCTGAGATACATCAAAGATCACTTTAACCCTTACGAATTCTTGAAGCTGAGGTTTGGTAACATCAAAAGCCACCTCCTTAACTTGCCCAATCTGATCACCCAACAAAGTAAGAGCCTTTTCCGTGTAGAAATTAATCGGAAGATTCCAAAGCTGAATCCACATCGGAGTGAACTGCAAATAGTTATCAGGAGGTTTTTCATACCATCGATCCACAACGATGGTCCATTCGTTGAATGTATGAACACATTTCTCAAGAACCTCGACTAAATCATGCTCTGAGTTGAAGAAGAATTGAAAACGTTCCTTGGAGAGAGCTACCCCTCTACATCTTCCAATCTTCTGCCATTTGCGAGGCATAGTGCGAATCAAATGATCATCGGTTGACAAACTGGATTAAGCGTACGACCAACTAAACTCCGGAAGTTTCTTTCACAAGATGAATACTCCAGCAGGAAAGGCATGTCTAGCGGAACATCTTCTTCCTCTAACGACATGGCCATCATTGCTTTGTCCATTGCAGAAGACATAACTCCTCCGTCAAAGACCAAAACCACAGATCTGAGAAGCTAAAAAACAGAAGGAAACACTAGCCTACCACCGAGAACAGGATTCGCGGAAGCTAGGAGAGACAGAAGTGAAGACAGCTTTCAAAACAACAACAAATCTTGAACAGACTTGGCAAAATCGAAGAAAAATCGAAGAACCCTAGCCGTTTTTGGAGAAAATGCTTTTGAAAGAGGACACAAAGTAGCGAAACAGGGTGAAATCGTCTAAGGGGAAGTGGTTTATCCCGGTCTAATCTCTCTTCTAAACCTAATGGAAAACACTAGTCTAGGAAGAGGGTCTTGAGCGAATTCCTTCTTTCACGACGAGGCCATCCTTCTCTCTAACTATATTTGTTTTTTTTCCTCTATTTACATAAAAAATTTTAAAAAATTATTTTACATTATTATTTTATCGAACTACGTAAGATATTATAATAATCTAATTCAAAATTAGAGAAATTTATTACTTTATAGTAAATATTAATTATCGAATATTAGTTAGTAATTTTTTATTATACATGATTATTTCAGTTAAGCATGTTTAAAGGAAAATAAATATTAGAGTAGATAATTTTTCGGAATTGTGATTTTTTGGAACAAATATAGTGTTGTACTGTATTTAAAAAAAAAAATTGAAAAAAAGAAGAAGATAGTTATCCATTTCATAGGTCGGCTGCTAATTTTTGGGCGGATCCTTCTAATCTTATTATATAAAAGCCAATTAAAATAAATAAAATATATGTCGTGGAAAGTGGAAACTATATAAAGGATAGAGATAAGTACGACTTCGACAAATGGAGATATATTATTATTATTATAATCATTATCTTTCGCTTTTCCTGACCAATACCCAAACGATCTCCCCTACTCTTTCCACGTGTCGAATGCGCTGAATTCAACGGCTGAAATCTTGAGTCTACTCGAAGAAGTATGGTACATACAGTCACAGGCTACCCTTTACACTTGAACAAATTTATAACAAATCACAGTTCCACCCAATGAAATCAATATTGTTTCAAAATAACCCCGGATCTTTATAGTGAAATTGAAAATTTGTGGATGTTTTTGATAAATTAAAAACATACAGGGTTTATGAATTTGTCTCTGCTTCAAGATCTCTCTACTATGGTTTATATTTCAATCTTGATAGTTCTCAGTACAAAGAGCATCACTGCCAATTTTAGAAAACTTCTGACGGAAAACAAAAAGAGAGGATTTTTTTGATCTTTTCGAGTTACCGGATAATAAAGACGGTACCTTTTTCACTGTTGACTTACCGGAAAAGATGGCGACTGTGCCGGAGATTAAGATAATGAGAAGCGAGAGCTTAGGGCATCGTAGTGACGTGTCGAGCCCGGAAGCGAAGCTAGGGATGCGTGTGGAAGATCTCTGGGATGAGCAGAAACCACAGCTTAGTCCTAACGAGAAGCTCAACGCTTGCTTCGAGAGCATCCCTGTCTCTGCTTTCCCTCTCTCTTCTGATTCACAAGGTATGAATGAGGATTTGATGATGTGGGTATTTGATCATGAGCTGATCTTTTAGTTGGAATTGGTGATAGTGTTGAATTTGAGGATGATCATGTTCGTGTGTTGGATTTGGATGGTTGACTGATCTGTGGAAGATATGGAGATTGTTTGTGATTTATGAGATGCAATTATTGATGGGTTCCGTGAGTTCTTGGTATGTGTTTGTTGATGAATTGTAGTAGGAATATGTGATCTAGATTTAAATTCAAGTTATAGAAAGTTGTAGAACTAAGAATTTGGAATTCGATTTAGGGAATCAGAACTAGTTCATGATGGTTTTACTTTCATAGCCTCCTTGTGGTATATTCTTGAAAGGTAGAATAAGAGTTGTTGTTTTCGCATCTCTGTCGCTTGAAATATTACATCTGGCATATTTTCATATCAGAGTGTTTTTTTAGAAAATGCTTCAGCTCTGCTGTCTCTAATTTGTGCTAATATCTTTTTTGTGGTTTCTCTATTTAGATATTGAGATAAGATCAGACACAAGTTTGGCTGAAGCTGTTCAGACACTATCGAAATTCAAGGTCTTGAGCGCGCCTGTTGTAGATGTTGATGCGCCTGAAGATGCCAGCTGGATTGATCGCTACATCGGTATTGTGGAGTTTCCAGGCATTGTTGTCTGGCTTTTGCATCAGGTAATTGTTCTCTTTTAATACGAGAGGCGACTGGTTTGTCGTGATCAATTGGATTGTGGTACCTTGTGAACTATAGTTCATGTCTTTACTCTACTTGTCTACTTTAAAAACAGTTGGAGCCACCATCTCCAAGGAGCCCTGCTGTTGCAGCTTCAAATGGATTTTCTCATGATTTCACCACCGATGTTCTGGATAACGGAGATTCAGCAGTAACTTCTGGAAACTTCTTTGAGGTCCTTACTTCTTCAGAGCTATACAAGAACACCAAGGTGAAGCTTCTATCTCTATTAAGGACCTGACTTCCATAGATTTATTTTGTGATTACAGCTTCTGAAATGCATTGGATATCCTCTCTGACAGGTTCGAGATATCTCTGGAACATTCCGCTGGGCACCGTTCCTGGCTCTGCAGAAAGAGAACTCCTTTTTGACCATGCTGTTGCTTCTTTCTAAATACAAAATGAAGAGCATCCCGGTGGTTGATTTAGGTGTAGCAAAGATCGAGAACATTATCACACAATCAGGAGTTATACATATGCTGGCAGAATGCGCAGGGCTTCTCTGGTTTGAGGATTGGGGAATTAAAACTCTCTCTGAAGTCGGTCTTCCCATTATGTCAAAGGATCATATCATAAAGGTCAGTTTGTAATCAAACTCATAGCTCCATTGAGAGTTTTTTTTTTCTTTTCTAACAGATCATCATTTCTGTTTCAGATCTATGAGGATGAACCAGTTCTTCAGGCATTCAAGCTGATGAGGAGAAAGAGAATCGGAGGCATACCTGTAATTGAAAAAAAAAGCGAGAAACCAGTAGGCAACATAAGCCTTAGAGATGTTCAATTTCTCCTCACTGCACCAGAGATCTACCATGACTACAGGTTAATACTTCACAAATCCTTGTGATGATACACCGAGCTTCGCAGCATTGTCAATCTTCAATACTTTCTCTTTAACTTTATTTTAGGTCAATCACAACGAAGAACTTCTTAGTATCTGTTAGAGAGCATCTTGAGAAGTCCGGGGATACATCAGCTCCTATCATGAGCGGTGTGATTGCTTGCACGAAGAACCATACACTAAAGGAACTGATCTTGATGCTAGACGCCGAGAAGATCCATAGGATATATGTGGTGGATGATTCTGGTAACCTTGAAGGACTCATCACCCTCAGAGACATCATCGCAAGACTTGTCCATGAGCCATCTGGCTATTTTGGGGATTTCTTTGATGGCGTCATACCTCTTCCGGAGAACTACCGAGTCTGAGAAAATGGTGTCTTTCTTCTGTAAATTGCCTTTTGTTTGGTAATAATGCTTCTGTCTGTTTGTGCTAAAGTTCTCGAATTTGTGTTATTAAAAGTTAACAGAAATAAGAAAAGAAGGAAGAGCCCGTCTTTGAGTGAATATGTCTGAATTTGGCCCTACATTTTGAATTGGAACAATTAGGTCCCTGGTTGGAGTAAGTGTTCTTCGAACTTGATCAAGATCTGGTCCATCTCTGGTTGGTGTTTCCTGACCTGAAAAGTTTTGTTTCGGAAAGATTTAGATACCAAAACGAGACTTCCCATTACAACCATTGTAGAGAAAAATTCATATGAAAGTGGCTTTAATTACTTTGACGTTGGCCATGGATAAGAGCTTGTGAGAAGCTACATAGGCAACATCTGAGTCATTTAGTCTCTTTTCCACAAAATAGATTACCTCAGCAACACCAGACTGCAAGAAAGAAAAGCGAAATGAAACAAGTACATATGATTGTGATGATCTACTTTTATCGAATTGGTTAATCGGTCTAACTAGAGCATTCGGTTTTAAAATGACCGCTTAGCTGAAGACATTAACCATAAAAGATTACTAGAGTAGCTTATTAAGGATCCAAATTTGACAAATCAAGCCAATCGTATATAGAACAAACCTGTAAAATAATCTTGGCACATTCATTGCAAGGGAACATTGTCACATAAAGCTTCTGCAAGAGATTAGAGGAGGACAAAACAAACTCATATAACAGCAGAGTTCCTTAGCTTTTCTGTAGTAGATAGCATATTCAACTTATGGACTTTTGCGAAGAAACCACAGATAGCAAATTCTAACAGCCATATCCTAAAAAGTTTTAAACTTTTCGCTTAAGCAAGAAACTCCAAAGAAACAAACCTGGCCAGCTGCAGAAGCGTGGTTTGTGTTTAGTATGGCATTGACTTCAGCGTGACAAACATATCTACAAAATCAGAGTCATAAACATCAGAGCATAGCAGTGAGCCTAAACGGATGAGAACCGTAACATGTCACGGTATTAAAGATCCCCAAAGAAAGTGCGCACAATACTCATCAAAACAAGAAGTTAAAAGGTTCAGCCGTAGTTTGCATCACTAAGATTAGTACTTACGGATACTTGGTCTCTAATGGGTCCCCAGTTCTTGATTTCTGCAAAATCGGTGGGAGCAAATTAAGAGAAAATGATCGAAAATAAATGTAGGGGAGAAAGTTCCTTGCATTATCTCTAGAGATTCATTCCTTACTAGCAATGAGTTTTCGTAGACAACTTGTGTATATAATCTAGGATATCAGATGAACGTAATACCTTGGCCCAAGGAAGTTTGTCATCAGAGCAGCCTCTTGGAAAACCATTATAGCCAATCCCTAAATGAAAGATGAAATTTTTTGAGTCGTTGTTTATACTTGTACCAGTTAAGTGAGAGCTATTACAACCACACTTCATATTATTGTTCAAAAGAGATCAAAAGACAAGTGTGATCATATTATCTTACCCAGAATGACACCATTTTGGCTCACCAAACACGCACCAACCTGCACAACCACAACATTTGAGCAGCTTCCACGGAAGAACATAAAGATTAAAACTATATCATCAACAAAATTACCTGCCTGTTAGGATCCTTGGATCGTTCTGCAGAAAGGAAAGCAATCGCCATGAAATAATCATCCCATGATAAGTACCTTCACAACAATTCAAACCAAATTTCAACATTATAAATCAAAGCAGATTCTATTTTCTGAAAGTTTGAAAATTTAGCTATGTAACAACGAAATTCGATGGAATTATGACAAACCCATTTCGTTTCAAAGGACTGAAAGGATCTAGATCCTGGAATTTTCTGGGAATTGCGGTGATTTCGGTGCAAGTAAATCTTCGAGATTTGGGGTTTTTAGGGTTTGATGAGAAGAAGCGAAATGCTAGAGCTGAAATCAAAGCACCGAAAATTGCAGAAGTAGAGACGAGTGTAAGATCTCTAGAGTTCATTGGGAGCTTCAAATCAAAGCTTTATCCACAGAAATCGTTGCTCTTCTCTCTTCTTCACTAATAAATTGTAGCGGGAAACTATAGGAGAGTGAACATCCCCGCCATTCCGGTTTAGGTAGGTCTATCGTTCGGTTCGGTCCATATAATTGTTGGTTATGGTTCGGTTAATAACAATATTGGTTTACTGATTGTGCTTTCTCTTCTCAGCAGAAAATTTTGGCAATTGGAACTAACCAAATGTTACTATTAGATTTTAGTTAATTTTAAATTCTCAAATAAATCTCAAAGAAATTATGTGTTACTGACTTACTGGGATCATTATGTCTTTTTTTTTTTTGTTAAATCATCCATTCAGTTGTTTTTTTTTTGTTATTTATTTAATATTGTTTTTACTACTGTGAGCTAGTTGTAAATTTAGTTTTCTTTCTTTATAAATTTTTCTCTTGTTTGGCTATATGAATAATGTAGTACTGTAATGCGGATTAATGGATAGATTGAAGAAAAAAATAGAGGAAGAGGAAACGAATTAATTTGAAAATAACAGATAATTGGAATAGAGTCATATATTACACACATAAAAACTATGAAACATAAGAAACAATTAAAAATTATATATATTTGTTACCCAAAACAATATACTCCAGGAGTAGTAAAAAACATAGAAAGCATTACAATTTCTACCTTATTAAAAAGGAACGTTTTTGACGACCAGGCAATAGTAGATCAAAATTCAGATTAGTCTCTTGAACCTATGAAAATTTTGTTTTTGTCAGTTAAAGAGTCCATACTAGATTACTAGTTAATGACAATTGAGATTGCAGTTGAAAGACTACTCAGGCCCTAGTTTCCGAATTCTCAATCCTAAAATAAATCTTGCAACTACAAAATCACCTATTTATTTTGAATATAAACTGTTATATGAGAAGAAATTGATTAAATTCAAAAAAGAAGAAGAAATTGATTAAATAACCAAAATATTCGTACTAAGCAGTAAGCACATAGTAAGGGAGCTAGTAGTTAGCTTTTGGAATCCATTAAGCCACGTGCATCCCCAATTATTACACAACCCACATCCACATTTTCACATCCTTCTAAAAGAACGGATACGTTAACTCATATATATAAACAATCGCAAAGTTATTAGTTACAAAACCATATAAAATGAGATAGATGATGAAAAAGTGAAAAGGGTTTCTTTAAAAAGCCTCTCATGCTTCAATAACGTGATCCGTTATATCCCATCTTCTCTGTCTTTTCTTCAACGGAGATTTTCTCCACACCTCAACTATTTTTTTTTTCGATTTCTCTTTGTTTTACTAAACTATCCGATCCATTACTTTCACTTTACAAGTGCTCCTATGTTTTGAAATAAAAACTAAACAAAATTTTGGTCATTGGAACTCAGGTCGTAATTATAGTTTTTAACGTAAAAAAAAAACTAATGGTGTTTGCATTTACATGTTTATACTTATATTATTTCAACATAAACGCAGAAAAAAAAAAAAAAACCCCGATAATATAGCTTCAGGAAATCATTTGGATTGATGATATCGATATTGTTATAGTGTGACAATCATATTTAATTAATTTGTCTAATCTTAAACTAGTGGGCATGAAATTCATCAAAAACCCATTTTTAAAATTTTGGTTTTTGGTGACTATATATTTTGTTACTCAACAAAACTTTTTATAAAAAAAATATTATATATTTAACCTATTTTTAACTTTTGATTGTTGTACAATCACATCATTTCGTCTTATCATGGAACCACACTTGACAACAAATTCACATAATGGCGGTACGGTGGTCGTTAGTTAACTTATAGGAAATAAATATATAAAACCTAATTATCAAATAATACAAATATAAAGCCTTTTTCAAAAAAAAAAAAAAAAAAAAAAAACAAATTCGAATAAGGGGTTATAAGCGTAATTTCAAGTAGATAATATATATAGACACGAAGCTGCTTACATATAAAGTGATTGGTAATTGCCACCCCCACACTTATTGAGAAGTGCAGCCTTTTAGCCAAAAAAAACAAACAAGAAAACAAAAATGGCTGAACAACAAGATCATCACAAAGAGCTTCAGCTTTTACCTTCTCCACCGTCTACGGAATCTCCGGTAAGGAAACACCGACCAACAGTTATAACAACAGACCATCACCACCACAACCGTTCCTCTTCCATGATCCATCACGATCTTGACCTCAAACTCTCCATCAGCCTCAGCTCGATCTCAACCGCGGAGGACCTTCCAAGCGGTGGTGGAGGAGGTGTGGAGGCGCTGAAGTGGCAGGCGGCGGAGCAGATAAGGCTTGCGGCTATAGAGAAGGCTTACGCCGAGAGGGTTAGAGAGTTGACTCGCCGTGAGATGGAGATGGCTCAGTCTGAGTTTGCTCGTGCAAGGTAATCAAAGCTAGCTCGATCAAGTAATAATTCCGGTTTGGTTTGGTTCGATTCGGTTCGGTTTGGCTAACGGTTTTGGATTGTAACCAGGGTGATGTGGCAGAAGGCAAGGGAAGAAGTGGAGAGAGCTGAGAGGTTGAAGGAGAGATCAATGACGAAGATGGATACGGCATGCTTGGAGATCACTTGCCACTCTTGCAGGCAAAGGTTTAGGCCATAATTTAAGTATTTAATTGTTTCTCTTAATTATTGTTATTATATATGGAAATTTGAAGAAAAAGAGAATGTTGATTTAATTAGTTTGAGAAAATAATTTGAAAAAAAAAAACACAAGAAAGAATTCATTATTTTGTTTTAAATGGTATTTTGTAGTTAAATTTAGTTATGTTTTCATTTTCGAGTTTGGAGTTTGGTAATATTTAGTCCTTTCTTTTTTCCTTTCTTGAAATCGAAGGGAAACAATGATATGCTCAGATTAGAAATGATTTATGTTTCCAGCTACTTAACTTCCTCTTCTTTGCCAACCAAAAAAACAAAAAGAAACTTCATGAATACCATTTAATGAATTACTTGGGAATTATATATGGATAAAATTCAAATTAGTTACGGTGTCAACATTAGCTATGTGAATTCTGCAACATCAGCTAATCAGCTATTATATGGTAAACTATATGGATTATCAAAATCTAACAATGACATTCATTAACCAACAGAACAAAACCTAATTTCAGTGATCAGTTAGTTAAATGCTTGATATTAAAGTAACAAGAGATAGAGTGACATTCATAATAGAGGAACGTGGTAAATAGAAAAAGAATGGACGATTTGCATGATTTGAATATAATTGGCTGACCCATATATATATGGTTCATTTTATTTTTTGTAATATCATCTTTGAAAATGTTCGTTCAATGAAAATTGATGATTATTCTGAAAACAAATAATCAAACACATACGTAAAGATATATGCATGGAGATGATGGGTATAATTATTGCATTACCAATACCATGCTCATTTCATCCACTTTAATTTCTTAGGTCGCTTTAAAATATTAGATATATGTCTACTATTATTATGTGTTTGTGCATATACGCACATATTTAAGGAAACTCGATAAATGTATAAGTTTTTTTGATAAGAGATAAGATTAATTTTAATTATGTACTTCGTAGTAGAAAAATACATAAAATTATGTAGTAGACTATGACTGAAACGAATAATCAAGTACTAATTAAAAATAATATGTTCAAGTTTAGAATCCTAAAAAATGCCGAGTTTACGATCATACCCTAAAAATGTTAATCATCTCGGCTGATCTATTCGGTTGGTTGTCATATTCTATAGAAAATGATATGTAAACTATACTAAAGATTATGACAATATATAGAATATATATATATTTTTTTGAAAATATAGAAAATAATTAAAGCACATTGTTATCCATTTTGTCATTTCTATGACAATCTTTAGTATTTTGGAACTGAATATACGTTTTCAAACTGTTTAATTTTTTCGTTACTATTTTGTTGAAATTTTTTGTTTTTTTTTTCTATGTCAAATTTATTGTTTCGCAATATAATGTATAGCTTGACGGACCAAACTCTTATGGTAAGAGACATTACAATATAAAATAGATCTAGAAAACTATATCTAATGAATGCGTGAAATTGCTGCAAATAACATCTAATATATGAAGAGAATGAAACCCTAGAGAGCTTCCTTTTGCTCTTTGGATATATATAATAATATAAAGATATATTTTCTTATCAACATAAAGATCTTTTATATTCAATACATAAAAAATTTTAAATAACAAAATACCCTTTAATTTCTATTATTACCACACACAAACACAGGTCCATTCACATGCGTAAACACACATGTACATGTACTTGTAGCCTTGTAGGTATTTTTTTATAAAGAAATAGTATAGTAATCAAGATTCCAATTTGGGTACTGTCTAATGCCAAATATATAGTTATTGATATATATGTGTAGCACTTGGTACAGTACTTTTCTTAAATGTGTCTGATCATTGCAATCTCTTAGTGATTTATTTTTCACAGGGAGATTTTGTAAATTTCTTCAACAACTAAATGAATTTGGAGTGATAGTTCAACTAGTTAGAAAATGACTATTTCGGTTTTATCTGGTGCAGCTTCGAGCAGAAATAATATTGTTATCTTTAAGTAAATATTACGCATAAACTTAACCAAAACTCGTTGTTTTACAGATATTGCAAAGTTTGTGATATTTTAGAATTTTTAGATCTTATTACTAATATTAAAAAAAAAAAAGTAAAATATCATATTTTATAGGCATATAATTATTTTTTTATTTATTTTTGGCAATCATCAGACGGGAGAGGGTTGCTCTATGGGACAATTAATGTAAAATACTTGCAAACCTTTTATCAAAAAAATAAAATAATGTAAAATATGTGATTTCTAATGCTACCGAATGTATACATGTGTTAATCCTTGAGAATCAATGATCAAGTCAACAAAGAAATGGCTCAGAAATCATACTGACTATAATCACTATGCATGCTATTATGCAATTTATAAAAATAGTAACAAAATGGAGTGAAACAGGAGGGGCCATGGACTCATATTTTTTATGATAGGAACCTTTGATAATGAAAGATAGAAGCAAATGGATCAAAACAAAAAAGACCACAATCAATTTATGTGAAAAAAAGAGAGATGAATAATTGATGAGAGAATTGCAAGACAACAAGGGGTGGGAAGGAGTCGGAGTATCCACTTGTTTTCAACTTCTTCTTCTTAGACCTTTCTCTCTATACACAAAC